CACCCCGAATGTCCCCTAGTAAGCTGAGAGTGGGCAGGGATGGCTCCCTATCTTAGGAGTGTCACTCTCTTGTCTGGTCCTGCCCTTCAGGACTAGGGATGGGGTCAGTTAGGAGGAGGAGACAGATGAAACTCTGTGCAGCCAGAGGTCACCTCTGGCCTTAAAGCCTTCCTGATGGGTTCTTGCACCTACAGAGAATCCCTAAGGGTCTGGGCTGGGACAGCCAAAACCTCTGGTCCTTGGTGACTCAGGCCCTTCCTTGGGAAGCAGCAGGGGTGGTGGGACTTAAGATGTCTGGCAGCAGAGCCTGGGGAGAGGGTGGGAGGCTCAGGATGCCCTTATCAGAGGGCAACAGATGAGAGCATGCTGTCTCCCATCCTTCCAGGGCATGTGGTCAGGCAGCCCGAGTTGCTTCAGAAGCTACAGCCCAGGGAATTACATCACAGGAGCCAAGGCTCACACAGAATGGTCTCCCACTGCCGGAGTGCCTCAGGAAGGGTCCTGGGGAGATGGGGCAGCAGGAACTTGGAGCTTTGCCACTGAGAAGCATGACAAGGGACAGGGGTCAGTTGGCATCATGTAGCCTCACCCATCAACTCATGATAGGGGGACTTTTGAGTTTCTCTTGTGGGGGAGACAGGCTGTACTGAAGCATCTACACTCCCCAGGCTCAGCTGAGCAGGGTAGGAGAGTGGGTTGGTCTGTGGCCAGGACTGAGGTCTTCTTTAGTGGCTAGTAAACAGAGTAAAGCCACCTGTCCTATGGGATGCACTAATCTCAGCCTTAGAACAGCCACTAGCCTTCCCAGCATAAAGGCCAGGTGAACTCAAAGAAGCCCTTCTTGGGAGAGCTCCCTGTGACTTGACCCCCTCATTACTAATTCTCTGGCAACCTATCCTCTTCTCCCCACTGCCTTGGAGGTACCCAGTAGGCCACCCTCTCCCTTGGCACTGGGCTTGGAAGGTCTTTTGCAGCAGGTGGTACAGAGGGGATCCTGGGTGGCAGGGCAGTGACAGGCTCAGGGATGGGAGTGCAGGCTGGCTGGGATCCCTTTTTAGCTGAGCCCCTGCTAATCTTCAGAAGGACCCTGCTTTCCCTTCTCATGTCTCTTCTGGGGCAAATAGGTGCAATTCAGACTTTTCCTTCTAAACTAACTCTTCTGTAGTAATTTCTGAATACCCTAGCTGAGTGGGACATCCAGACACCTAGAGGGAGGCTGAGATGAAGCTGGCAGGGTCTAGCAGGACCTGTTCCTGTGATTTGATTTGAAATTTCCATCTTCAGAGACCATGCCTTATTCTCTCCATACTTTGCAGTCTCCTGAAGATCCCTGGGAAGAACTCCTGGCTGTGTATGAGCTTGGCTTGGGCAACAGCCTTGGGATCAGGGCTTTATGCACAAACTCCTGTGAGACACTGCTGTGGGCACCATGATGGGTCATCCCCAACACAGCACTATTAAGGAAAGTGCTTCCTTCCCATCTGATCTGGGTGGAAGAGCTTAATTGAGCCTAGGATGAAGCCAGAACCACAGGGACATCTCCCATTGGGCCCAGAACAAGGAGGGCAGCAGGACGGGAGAGCAGAGAACCTGCTCCTGGGCCAAAGTTTATATTCTTAAAAACCTCTCAAGCCTGGTTCCTGAAAGCAACAGCCTTTGATTCCCCCAAGGGCTTGCTCCAACCTGTCCCCAATTGTCCTGCTTCACTCACAGTCCCAGGGAAGCTGAACCTACTGAAGGGACAATGGGGCCAACTTTGGCACCTGCACAGCACACTAAGAACATCTCCATCCTCTTCTTTCAACTTTGGGGTGGGGGGCTCAGCCATCCAGGCTTGGAGGTGGCCATGTTTTCAGAGGAGGAGTGACTCTTTGTCCCTTGTACCCGTCAGAGGCTGGTGTCCTCACAAAACCACAGCTGTGAGGTAAGGCTAAGATGTCCTAATTCCTAGGAGACTGGCTCCCATGGCGGGGTACCAGTTCTAATCAATGTTCCTTTCTGTAGGTCAACTCTCCAAGGGTGCTCTAGGCTCCAGAGTTCACAAATACTGAGCCAGACAATGTGTCTCTTGTTATCTATTGACTGTTTTCATAATGAATCCATTACTTAAACACCAAGATGACTTTGACTGACTGGTAGTATTTCCCATCATGTTGTATCATGTTGAAAAAAGATCCCAAGGTCATATCTGTGCTCAGGGGGAAAAAGCGCTGATTGATTAGCAATGTCTGTCACAGGTGAGGGACTGGAGAGGGAGGATGTCCATGCTGTGCCTTTCCTGGTATCGCACTGTAGATTTTTGGAAGCACTTGCATATGTATCACCTCATTTGATTAGAACAACACTGTGCTCTAGGAATAGTGAAAGTTATTATTCATTTTACAAAGGGGGCTGTCAGGAGCATGGATGGTAAGTGTTTTTCCTAAATCATGTGAGTAAATTGTGGCTAGATACCCAAGGATGAGAGCTCAGATGTCCTCAGTCCAAGGCCAGTTTAGGGAAGTCACTAAGCTTAGGGAACACTTGAGATCAACACATGCCAAAGCATTCCCATGTCTTTGGGACAAGAATGCTTAGTAACTCTTCCTCAGGGTTGAAATTTGCTATTCTTTATGCATATGTGTGGGATGCTGGCAGGAACAGAGCGCATGGCAAGGGGATGGGCTGCCCACGCTGGAACCAACTGCCCCTCTGCTTGCCTATAACTTTAGAAGGGACAGGCCTGGTTTTGACTTGCTCCAATTTCATTAAATTAGCAAGGCACCCCAGGAAGAGAAAAGGGACCATTTCAAACACATCTGCAGGGAGTCACTCTGGACAGCTGTTCAGTTACCATGGAAACCCACCCTTGGAAACTGCTTCCATTTCAGGAAAATAGCTACAAACAATAATAAGCATAAATGAAAAATGGTACACTTATGACTTGAAAACTGTACTTGTTATTGGATTTCATTGGGTCTCAGGGGCTGAGATGGAAGGCTCATATCCGAGAACACAGTGGCTGGCTGTGGGCCTAATGACAGAGCCTGCATCCTCCCTCCCACCTCCCTAATCAAGTTTCTGGATGTGACTTCCGCAGAGGCATTTATCAGAGAAGCTAATGTCTGAATCGTGGGAGGCAGGAGGATGTCCCTCGTCAAAAAATAAACAGCTGCTGAGCAGACTGGAAGGTAACATGGAGCCATGTGGACGGGGAATGTGGGTTAGGGGGTGATGTTGCTGCACATACACATGGGCCCCAGTTAGACAGCCTTAAAAGAAATGAGGCACTGAGAATAAGAGCTGAACTTAAGACTCTCTGCACTAGTCCATTTTCAAGCACCTTCAGGTTTGCAGAAGACCTTATAAAGATGACCTGGTCCAGCTCCTCCCCTAAGTGATGTCTACATTCTCTTGGCAATATCCTTGCCAAATGATTTCTGAGTTTGTGTTGGACTAAGAGTTACAACGTTTTTCCTGACACTAACTCCCTGTTGGTTCTTGAAATCTAACTCCCTGTTGCTTCTACTCATAAAGAAATCCGACCCCTCTTGGCAATAAGCCTGCAGCCATCTGGAGTCATTCTCCTGATCTTTCCATGTTCTCCATGTGGTGAAGGCAATGATACCCTAGTAACCTTCTCCTCAAACAGCTCTCGAGGGAGATATCTGAGGTAGAACCCAGACTCTAACAAGGGAGGAATATGTCACTAGCTGTGGACTCCTAAATTATATTTCATATACAGGCTTTATGCTTTTCAGATTATTCCATTTTTCTGCTACTTGCTCTTGGAAAACAGCTAAGACAGGCAGGAAAAAACCTATTTCTAGGGTCTGATACCACAACCACCTGGTAGAGCAGGTATTTAATAAATGTTTGTTGGACCAGAGAATCCTTACTGGATAGATAACTCAAATGGAGGTTCAGAGAAGGTAGCTGACTTGCTTGCTCATGATCACCCAGGAAGAGAGAAAGTCAGGATGAGAGCACCAGCATCCTATCTCCCAGCCTCCAAGCCTTCCCACAGGAAGGCCCCTCTCTGGCAACCAAGTCTGTGAGCATCAAGCTTACAACTGGGGTCAGCAGGTCCTTAGGCTCCTGGGCCCTCTTACTACTGAGGGGTCATTCTTAATATGTGCTTGAGTTCATCTGACAAGAGCACACAACCAGATCATGCACTTCTTCCAGCAGTAAGACATGTTCTGAAATGGGGGCTGTTTCATGCAGCCTGAGGGGGTGGCCTGGGGACCCCTAGAAAGAACAGCATTTTGGTATCTGCCTAGAATCTGGATTTTCCTTCAGTACAAGGATTTGATGAGCAACAAAGAGCCCTTTGGAACCATGTCACCTTATAGAAACCTACAGCAAAAAGGAAGTCACAAAGATTATCAGTCAGCCTTCCTAGGTTTTTTCATTTACCCAGACCCTGACCAAGGGCAAACCACCTGCCTATACAAAATAAATTGTCTGAACTTGCTCCTGTGGCTTTCAGCCAAACAATAGATAGGCATTTGGGGTGAACATTTACATCAGGTATATACTCCTTGGAATCAATTGTGGGAAAACAGAAGGGCAGTGTTTGCACAGGGAGACAGCTGGGGGGGTACTTGGGAGGGAAGGATACAGGGAAGATGTAACTACAGGGAGGAAGTGGGAAGAAAGCTGATACACTGTGGGGAACTGCAGTCAATGTCTTGAAACAAAATGTGTATGAAGCTGCTGCATGGAAAATGAATTTGCTTTGTCAACTCTTACCCAATTACAAAAAAAAAAAAAAAAAAAAAAAAGTCTTCTCTGACAGCAGGAGGAAGCCACCTCCCCCAGATGCCAGAGAACAGCAGGCAAGGCACTGGCCACAGGGGAGGGAGAGTGGAGGGAAGGAGGGGATGAGAAACATACAGGCAAGGGGACAGGAGGCGGGGAGGAAGCAAGATGGGGGAGGTGAGGTAAGAGGGAACATGAGGGTGGGGTGAGAAGCGGGGAAACATGGTGGGGTGAGGTGGAGATGGGTGCTCACTCACCAGACTGTGCATGATACGCACGCCATCCGGGTTCACTGTGAGCGCCTCCTGGTACAGCTGCTTGGCATCCTCCAAACTGCCCTTCAACTCGGCCAGCCGGCCCCGCATGTAGAGCACCGAGTGTGAGGTGGGGAAGAGGCCTGCTGCCTCCTGGATGCAGAAGCCTGCTTCCTTGAGGTGTTGCTGCTCCATGAACAGCTCAGCTGCGAAGCCAGAAGGGCAGTGGGAGGTGTGAGTAGTGGGCAAAGTTGGAGGCAGCGGCCCCTCACAGATTCCCCCATCAGCCTCCAAGGTATAGTGACTGAAACTGTCCCACTGAGTTACAGCTTACTTGGGGAGGCAGCATTAACACTAGGTAATTGTTTTTGAGTGCTTACTATACACTAGGCATCATGCTAAGTGCCCCATACTGATGGCCACACTCAATCCTCGCACAAACCCTGGAGAACAAGTAATTTATTAACACTCTGCTTTAAAGATGAGGCAGCTGGCACAGAAAGGTTAAGGAACTTGCCTAAGGCCACAGGGAGAGTGATGATTTACATGGGTGTCTGGCTTCACAGCCTGGCAGTGGGGACGTGGATGGTGTCCCCTGGTGACTCTGGCTTCTTTTTCAGTGTCTCTTCACTTCTTTTGTTCTTTATGTGTCTGGGCACAAGGAGGTGAAACTAGATACTGTTGATGCGGCCTCCTGGTCCAGGAGAGGCTGACTGTGACGCACTAACTCCACCCAGTGTGATCAGGACGAGATAGGGTGTGCTCAGAACCCCCAGGGAGAACCAAGGGATCCAGCCAGAAAGGGGGCTGGGAGGACCAGGAGCAGAGAGGCTCTGGGAGAGCTTGCTAAGGGGAGAGCTGGGGCTCCAACCAGGTGATGTTAGGAACAATGACAAAACCAGTGACCTGCACTGAAGTGTCTGTGTGCCGACTGAGCCCATGAAGCTTGGGAGCCCAGCTCAGCTGCTGAGAGGCGGGCAGTTCAAACTCAGCCACTCCTCAGAAGAAAAATGGAGCAATATATAGACTATAGCTTTGGAAACCCTATGGGACAGTTCTACCCTAACATAGAGTCCCTATGAGTTACAAATGACTCAATGGCAATAGGTCTGGTTTGATTTAACCCTTATAAGGATGCTTGGAGGGTCAGCTGATCTTTGACAAAGGCCCCAAATCCATTAAATGGGGAAGAGAATGTTTGTTTAATAAATGGTGCTGGCAAAACTGGAGATCCATTTGCAGAAAAAGGAAACAAGATCTGTACCTCACACCACACACAAAAACAAACTCCAGATGGATCAAAGACTTAAATGTGAAACCTAGAACTATACAGTTTCTCAAGGAAAATTTAGGGTCAAACTTAAGGGCCCTAGTATTTGGGTTAAATAGACTACCAAGCATAATTCAAAATGCACCAACAGCAGAAGAGAAGCCAGATGATTGGGACCTTCTAAAAATTAAATGTTTATGTGCTTCCAAAGACTTCTCCAAAAGAGTCAAAAGACAACCTACAGATTGGGAAAAATATTTGGTAATAACATATCTGACAAGGGACTTATCTCTAGAATTTATAGAACACTCCAACACCTCAATAACAAAAAGACAAACAATCCAATTAAAAAATGGGCAGAAGACATGAATAGACACTTCACCAAGGAGGATATTCAAGCAGCCAACAAACATATGAAGAAATGCTCACGATCATTAGCTATTAGAGAGATGCAAATCAAAACAACAATGAGATACCATCTTGCTCCAGCACTAGTAGCAAAGTTCAACAAGACAGAAAATAACAAATGCTGGCGAGGTTGTGGAGAGATTGGGACTCTCATACACTGCTGGTGGGACTGTAAAATGGTACAACCATTGTGGAAAGCAGTATGGCGATTCCTTCAAAAGTTGGAAATACAAATACCATTTGACCCAGCCATCCCATTACTAGGTATATACCCTAAAGAAGTGAGAGCCATAACAAGATCAGATATATGCATGCCGATGTTCATTGCAGCACTATTTACAATAGCCAAATCTTGGAAACAACCTAGATGTCCAACAACTGAGGAATGGATAACCAAACTTTGGTACATTCACACAATGGAATACTATGCAAGGCTAAAGAATAATGTAGAATCTGCAAAACACCGCATAACGTGGATGAACTTGGAGGGCATTATGCTGAGCGAAATAAGTCAGTCACAAAAGGACAAATATTGTATTAGTCTGTTATTGTAAAAGTTAAGGAAAGGTTTATATATTGGAGGACATTTTCTTTGTTGGTTACCAGGGGTGGGAGGGGAGGGGAGGGAATGCTGTTAGATAGATAGAGATAAATATTGATTTGGGTGAAGAGAAGTGCAATGTACCAAATGTGAGTGACCAATATGGCAGCATTGAGGATGAGAAAGACATAGAGAGTTACATGGGCAGTACAGACAACAAATATGAAGCCCTTTGCATATACAGTACTGAGTTGTCAATGAAAGCAAACATGGGTATAGGGACGGATAGATGGGTGAACAAGCTAAACAATTAGGTATGTCTAAATGGAGAGTGTATCCAAGATTATATATAGGGTTGGAAAACAATGGGCCTATAAGTTCATGTGAATGATCAGAATTCCCAGGTGTATAGTAGAGCTGACAAGGGGCAAGGTTATGGTCATTACTTGGTCACAGCCAGCTACCCAGAGGAACCGAGTAGTTGATCCTGCGGGCTTGGGACCATAGTCGCAGGGGACATCAAGCTCAATTGGCATAACATACTATACAAAACATTGTTCCACCTCCTACTTTGGCGAGTAGCGACTGGGACCTTAAAAGCTAGGAAGCTGCCATCTAGATGCAACAACGGTCTCTCCTCGTCAAGAAGAAAGAAGAAAACCAAAATTAATGGAAACAACCAGTCCTAGAGACTGGTATACCATCCGATCTGCAACCTATACAACTATGAGACCAGAAGAACTAGATGGTGCCCAGCTACCACTGCCATCCACTTGGAAGGGATGTAGGAGATCCTGCATAAAGAGGGAGAACAATGTGGTAGAAAACTCAAAATCATTTGGAGGCAAAAAAAATAAATAAATAAATAAGAAGGTGGGAACCAGGTTTGCTGGTCCAATGGAGCCTGGTGTAACCACTGAGACTATGGCCCCTAGCTGCCCTTCAGGTCTGGAATTGAACCCACAACTGTGGTTTCCAGCCAAACAAAGTACAGGCATGTGAGTTAAACATTTACCTCAAGTAGACACATGCCCTGGAGAGAACAATCATGGGAGAAGGAAGGGCTGCTTATGCACAGGGAGATAGCTCAGGGTGCAGAAGAGTATGAAGGGATGGACACTGGGAGGAGGTAACTATGGGGAGGAAGTGGGAGGGGAGCTGCTGCATTGTAAATTTTGGTCAATGTCAGGAGACAAAGTATATGTGAACTGCTGTATGAAAAGTGAATTTACTCTGTAAATCTTCACCCAAATCCTAAAAAAAAAAAAAAAAAAGGGATGCTTGGAGGGAGGCAGGTGCTATCATGAGTTCCACTTTAACAAACCAGGCTGAGGTGAGGACCTCGCCCCGATTCCCTCTGTGCGGAAGAACAAAGGCAGGGCTGGAAGCTTCACCAGCTCCTCAACCTCCCTCTGAAGCTCAGGACTTTCCACTGCACCCTGGGAAGGAGTTGATGCTCACAACCTTTTTTGTCCGCAGGTAGTGAAGCAACTGCTCCAGGACCAGTTAGGATTCTTTCCTAGACCAACCCTGACGATTCTGGGCCACTGCACACAGGTATGCACTTCCTGCCTTGCTGTAGAGGGGCACACCACAGCAGGTGCTGTCAGAGATGCTGTTGGGGGCTGTGGCTCAGCCTCCCCACTCACACTGCCCATTCAGCCTTCCTTTCTCAGTGGCCAGGGCTCAGCTACCCCATTCCGGGGCTGGGGTGCATACTGAAGTCACAGAAGGATCACAACATAGACAGGGAGTGCAGCAAGTTAAACAGAGCCTGACTTGTGATTGTGCCAAGAGCTTTTCCTAGTAAAGGCTGAGAGCTGAGGTTATGCTAGTTCAAATATGTCTGGGGTGGGGTGGATAAAGGATCTCCAAAAGAGGTTCCCAGAAAGGTGGGCAAACCAGGCCCAAGCAACCCGCCTAATCAAGACCATGACTATAGCATAGCACTCAGGGTCTTTTGCACAAACATTGTCTAAGGTTCACTATGCAAGAAAAATAACCTGCAACATCTTAGAAATGGCACGGGTTGTCAAAGGGGCACTCATTCTCTAGTGGAGATGAGAATTTGGAAGAATCTGAGAATTAATTAGAAAACAGACAAGGCAGGCTTCCATGATAAGGAAAAGAGAAATGCAGGCTCTAGTCTCTAGAAACAGCCTGGACTGGAGATTGCAAGACAGAAAGCCCTGGAAGGAGAGGCCTATAAATGCCAGCTTTGAACTGAAGGCCTTGCTGGGCCATGATGGGGCTCAGGGCCACCCCAGTCTCCATGCTCTTGCCAGGCTCTGGAGTCATGTTCCCTTCCTGAGCTGCTGCCTTGGGATCCCAGTAGGCAGCCATTGTAACTGAGCAGTCATCACGCAACTCTTGAGCACTGTGTGCCCAGCCCTACCATGAAAGGAAGAGTAAGCCAAGGAGCACTGAGCCATCAAACCATTACTTGAGACAGGGCAGTGGAGGCAACAAATGTCAATTCTGAGTGCAGTGGGAACTCAGGAGGGGTTGGCCTGGGCAGGTAAGGTCAGGAACGCCTTCCTGGAGGAGGCAGCAAGCAAAGGAACTGGGGCCCAGGGCTGCAGGAGCACTGGGCCTGCAGACAGGAGAAGGGAGGTTATGTTGACAAGGAGGGCCATGCTCCAGGGCAGAAGCAGCCAAATCCCCCAGGGTCACAAGAGGAAAGGGCAGAAACAGCAGACAGCGTATAGGCAGACAGCGTATAGTTTGGAGGTGGGAGCTCCTCCTGCACCAGTTCCTGCGGATGCTTCCTCCATCGGCATGAGCCAAGAACCAGGAACCAGGTTCTCCACTCCCTTAGACCTTGCCCAACAGCCTCTCCCAGGCCTGGCCCACCTGGCCACAGCACGGCTCATTAAGCTGTTTACAACTTGCCACCCTGCCTCCCAAGGGGGCCCCTGTTCCCTCAATGGAGAAGCATCCACAGTGCCTTCACATCAACAGATTTCAATTACAGAAGTCTCACCAGC